CACACCCACCCCCCCACCCACACCCACCCACACACCCACCCCCCCACCCACCCCCCCCCCCACCCCCCCAACACACCCACCCCCACACCCACACCCACCCACACCCACACCCACACCCACACCCACACCCACACCCAAAATCTTTAAGAGATGCTACGTTGAAACACATCAAAAGTGAAATCAACCAAATTATGAATATGTATATTAGCAAGAAAATAAACATTAGAAAGTGCAAGATTCATTTAACAACGCTCTTGAAAGACAGGACAGCACGATTGGAAAAGGCTTGATGTATCCTAATTTAGACAATATGGAAGTATTGTTTGATGAGAGGTTTGAAGATAGTTATTAAATTGGCAGGATGTAGAATCAAAGAAATTCCAAGAAGTATCAGAAAGTATAGAAGGGCAGCTGAATGAAAATTAATCGTAAGATCACAATTAAACAAAGCATTTCGTAAATAGATTGTAGTTTCTTTCAATAAAGAGTTGTTGTGATAATGATCATAAAGTAGCAGTTAAACATATGTTAGTTGCTCGACTGAAGAATAGACTTCTCAGTTTAGTTCAAAGTGAAGGTCGAAGATTGTAAGATTTTTATCAACTAGATTGCCGGCATACTATTGATTTATGTCAGACTTCTAATGATCAATGAGTCTATAAATACTGACGAAAAATTCCTTGAAATCAAAAGCAAAATTATCATTCAACAAAATATACAACACGAAGATTAATATTGAGATGACAGTCGTTTAGTTTTTCAGCTCTTTATAAAACAGACTTTGTTAGTTAAAATTTATAATAACCATTTATTCACATTTCGCTCTATTATGCAAAACAATATAATCAATATCCTCCGGTTCTTCTTTAATCTTCAATTGATTTGGTATATCATCGTGAATAACATCGTTTAATGGACTCGATTCAATTTTTGAAATTTGCTAATTATAGAAACAAAAAATGTATTGTCTCGTATGTGAAAAAAAAATCTTACATCAGAAGATAAACAAGATCTGCTCCCGGAATCAACAAAACAAGATTTCATTTTTCTAGAATCGTTTACACAGATTATATTGGATAATGATGCTATTGATTGCTTTGGTCGAATAAGATAATTGGAAGATGTATCCTCATTTTTGTCATTAGCTAAACTCGCGAATTTTTCTGCCAATTGACGAAATAGTACTGCAGGAGATATTTCTATATTTCCAGGTACTTCAATTAAAAATTGTCGATTCTTTGTAGTATTTTCTTGAGTATTTGACTGACAGGCTTCATCTGCTGCCGCCAATGAATTATTACTAGCTGAAAATAAATGTAAATCCATGTTAGCATGAATACTTTAGAATGAATTCGTATCATCTTACCAGGCGCGAGCAACGTAGAACAATGAGAATCTGAAGAAAAGCTATTTGACTCTAATGAAGTATCATCTTTGCCATCTAAGTGTACAGCAATATTCATTGAAGTCAATGGAGAAACTGACGAAACAGATTCTATGAATGGAAGAGAACTTGAACGGTGTCTTTTTCTTTTATGCGTCATGTTATTAGAAATAACATTCATTCGTACATCATTGTTATCATCATGTTGTCTCCTAAAATTGCGAAATGATCATTGAGATAATCGAAAATAAAATAATTTCACTATAATTCTTACATTGTCATCCAAAGAATAGGCAATAGTGGATCATAGGTATCACTACTTGGAGATGCCATTTTGTTAAGTCGATGCAATTCATTATCTACATATCGTTAGAAAGGATTGATTACACATGGCAATTGTAAACAACTTACGGAAATACCATTGAAAATTTGTAAAATTACGAGGTGACGTGGTAGATAAGACCACTGCCTTTTTTGTCGTATCACCGATTGATTCACAAATGAATCTACACAATTCATTAGCAAATGTTCTCATATCAAAACTTGCTCTTTTTAGATGGCCTATAAATGTGATGAATATTTATCATTCAAAAAACAAATTTTTATTTCATGTCTACCATCATGAACAATAAAATGAACCATAGCATTTGAATTCCATTGATGATGTATAAGAGTATTAAAACGTAACAACAAATGAGGTTGTTCTTGAGTACCATTTAGCAATTTATCTACTTCAAGACCATTGCATATACCAAGGAAAAGACTATTCAAGAAAAAAAACTCGTTTGAAATAATAAATCAACATAATAAAATATGAATACTCTACCTATCATTATACATTAGTGCTAAAACCGGATGTAAAACCAAAAAATGTATTTGACTTATAATTTTAGCTAAAATTTCCTTTCAAATATATCAATAAAATTTTAAATTATAAAAATTTAAATTTCATCTTACTTCATATATATTATCTGCAGTATTAGTTGTCATTGTACTTTTCACATCTAAATGCATGTAAATATACAAATACAGAATAATTTTTAATAAATATCGAACCATTGATTGGTTGTGTAAACAATTGTCGAATATATAGACTCGTATGATCGAGTAATTCAACACCCGTCATACGTATATAATACCGACGAATGAATTCAGTAATAATATCAGGATCTGTTACCTCATTGTTCTATAATAGAAAAATCATATATCAAATCATCTGCAAGCAAAGTCATTCGTTAATCACTTGACTTTGTAAAATTATAGTACGTATATCTATGGATAATGAAATTTTCTAGAGCTAATATTTATATGTCAGATGTATGATAAGTTACTCAAGGTAATCTAAAAAGACTCGGTGCTAGAGATCTTTGTTCAGAAGAGTTATTAATAAAACAGTAACATTAAAAGAAAAACATTGATTTTCCCTTCATGCAGTTTGGTTTAAAATTGTACATTTTGTAGGCAACTTTCGAAGTTACAAAATTTCTATTTAAAGTTTTTCCCAACATGTCTAGATTTTTCTAAAGCAATCGATTTACTTTTTTTAGGCTACGTGATGAAATACAAAACAATTATATCCAGGCGATGCAATGCCTTAATCAGAATCTCTATATGATAGCAAGACAAAAGCTTTTGTTTTGGAACTTGATAGAATCCATAGAAAATTAGCTTTTAAGACGGTCTATGCTAAAAGAACTGATTTCGAGAAATAACCATTATAAAGAACCAAACTCTCTTCTTGCAGGTGGATTAATATTGAATATATGCATTTGAAGAGTAGTACATAAGCTATCATTAAAGAGACATTGAATTCAATTTGCATCAACTCCAATAAAATATTCATTGATAAAAATATCAAAGTCATTTCTTTCGACATAGTCGAACATAACGAAATTTCATTTTTTTCGTCTATGGAGACCGTACCTTCTTGAAACTAAAAGCAAATACCATGATATTTTCATCCAAATCCAATCCTATCTCATTCCAATTCTTGGTTTAGATTTGACTAGATTTGGTATTTAAAAAATTGGTGTTGAATCATCAATTTACGTTAACAAGTTTAATATTATTGAGTCAAACTCAAATTCACTTCTAGTTAAATCCGAACCACGAATTGGAATTGAATTTGGAATCAGTGCATCCCTAAGTATTTTCCTTCATGAAGATACGGCTCACTGCAGACAAAAAAAATGATATTCCTTAATGTTCAACTATGTCGAAAAACTAACTGTGATAAAATTTTTTCGATCTTTTTACAAATGTAATATTTTATTTTAGTTAACGCACATTGTGTACAATTTTTCTTAAATGATAACTTATTTGCTACTCTTCATGTGCATACACACTCAATATTCATCCATCTGCAAATGTGGCCGAGATACAAAAAATAAAAATGATATTGAGACTTATGAAACACCTTCTAGATATATATATATATGCAAACGTCTATTACATACATTATTCAAAATTTGTTTCATCTCATAAAGAAATATTTGTGCAAGAAATTTTGGAAAATATTGTCCATGAGAACAAATACCAAATGGTTGTGAAGTGAATGTAATCATTTCTTCAAATTGTGGATCTTTTATCTAATTTTGTAATATATAAAAAAAAAAAAAAAGATTCATGAAAATGAATTTTTACTTTTATTTTTATTCGAAATTCCAATTGACAAAGCGTTGAATTAAATGAAAGACGTTTATATACAGAATCAAAATTTCCAAGTTCTAGTGTGTTAGTTTCAGCAAAATAAATTGATACTGGAACACCTTCAGCACTCATTACATCTTTTTTTTCCCATTCGATTGATGGTTGTTGTTCTTGTTTATTATTTGCTTCTCGATTCAATGGATAAAGCATTACATCTAAGAAACAATCATAAAAATACATGATTCGATGACATATCTTATACTAGTGATACCTATATGTGATAGTTCTATATAATCTGCAAGAATATCAGGATCTAACAAACAGATAATACGTGAGTGTAATTTCGCCGTATGACTAAATCCATTTTTAATATATTGAGTAACTGCCGCACCCTCTGAACCTGTTGGCTGAGCAACAATAATAAATGAGCTAGATTTGATAAACATTTTCTGTATTTTAGTTTCAAAAAACAAAACTATAACTGACTGTTTAAATTGTTCTATAAAATGTTTACGTCCTTCTGTTTCCCAAAGTTTCTTGTTTTGTTGATAATATTTTATTAAACAATGACACCAATTAGTCGCACTAAATATCAATAAACAGGATAAAAAAAAAATTCTATTTCTATGATATAGTACATACGCTTTATGTAACATTAATAAACCTGGTAGTGGTGCAGTTTCTTGAGGATGAAAATAGAATAGACGTCGTCGACATTGCATATCTTGCCAATGTCGAACTTCATTAAATAGATCTTGTGGTGTCTGAAAATAATTATATAAATATAATGGTTATATATCTATCGTTAATTATTTACCCATTGTGCAAAGTCTCGAATCATACGTGATTTGATTTCATCATATAAAGCTTTTGTTTGTTGATTAAATAAGTTCGAGTCCTGAAATACACATGATAAAAACAATATTCTGAAAGGAACTATTCATTGATTCTTCGACTTCATCCAACGGAAAAGCAAATCATTTAGGATAAGTCATTTAAGTGCGTTTCAAATGAACTTCGAAAACAACCAATACAGTTTATTATAAGCGTTCTTTCTAATGCATTTACAAATTATGCATATACACATACTCGATATACTGAAATCATATCATCATTAGTCACAAAAATAGGGTCTGTTTAGACGAAAAGAAAAAAAAATTGTGACTTCATTATGATTCAGCTGTACTTCGTCGCACTTTTATGCACGCGAATGTCCTTCACTTACACTTAATTTTGTACTTGAAGCGTATATATTTCTGCTTCGTTCCTTCATAATACACTGACATATATTTACTATCGTTAAAACGAAATCTACAATAATATAACAAGACTCAGCAACTATGGATTCATACAAGTATTGATATCTGCATTCGATGAACAATGCTTGACCGTTAGTCAAACTTTTATGAGTGATTAAATCGAAGTTTCTTTTTTAAAATTTTTTCAAGAATGATTTCACGAAAGGACGATATTTCTCTACAATTTTCATTTTTTTTAGAAGAAAGACTGAAATGAATTGAAATCGTTTTGCAACTAATTTTTTTTGTTTATGAGTGAAATCTAAATGTTAATATCTATTTGTATTAAAGACTTATTTCAATTTCAATGAACTATAATTATTAATATGTAGAAATAACAAAAAAACGACATTTTTTAGAATCAGTCTTATACATTTCTTTATGTGCTTACTTTGTAATATTCATATAATAATCGATTTAAAACAAAACATTTCAAAACAGAAACATCATTTGGTTTCAACTTTTGTCCTTCTTGTATGAATAGATTATCCCAACCAATTTGTAGGCTATACAATGATTCATATTAATATAAAAACTATGACATTTTTTCTTTAGATTTACCCTTGTTGATATAATTTTGAAAAGGATGCATCTATAATATGTCTATTCATCAAAACAGAGAGTAAACCAATAGCACTAGGAAATCGTTCATTTGGTGCAATGAAATTATGATCAGTTGCTAAGTCATATAAGTCATTGTTGTTAACTTTTGGAGATGCGTCACTAGAGTCTACATGAATGAAATGAAAAAAATATTCGAAATAACGAAAATCTTTCTCACGTTGTCTATTCAAGGTTTTTTTACGTCGTTTGGTTGCTGTAGTCATCGTTTTTTCGTGTTCTTGGTTGATCGCTTATTGTCGTATTATGGTATGAAATATGAATTTGTATCGTGTTTTTCTGTATGGTCCAATCTTTTTGCACTGAAAACAGAACGAAACGATTTCGTAACACAGGTAATCAACATTAATTTTAACAAAGAATGCATCGTGCTTGTACCCCTATTTTTTTAACGCTTCTCAGAAGAAAAACAAGGGTAAATAGAAGGAAAAAGTCACGCCTTCTTTTTCTTTTCGTTCGATAAAAAAAAAAATATATCCAAGGATTCTATCCATTGTTATGAATATGAAACATATATGTCGAGAGACAATATCAAGGTTTGAAATTTCCATAAATTTTTACGAATAGGTTTGTTCACTTGGTTTAAAGGTAAAGTCCTCAACAAAATCGTATCTTATTAATTTTACCTATGCATATAAATTATTTCAGTTTTAGTATTTTTTTATAATTGATATATATTTGAAAATATTTATAAAAATTTATTGTGGATAAAAGAACATGTACGAATAAGATTCAGATCAGTCGACATGCGAAAAAAAAATTCATAAGACTTTGATTGAAAGTCATTTTATATTTTTGACTTTTTCTTTTTCTTTTTCATGCCGTCGTTAAAGAATTTTCTGAATCCAACATACAACATTTTTTACATATGATGACCTTTCAATGAAAATTTTCGAATAGAGAAAAATAAAATTTACTTTTAAATGAAACCATTTTATTTATCAAATCGAACTGTTTTTGCTTAGAAAATTATTATCAAATAATGAAGACAACAGTCAACATTCTAGAAAAAAAAAACAAAGTTGCTTTATACGAAGAACAGTGATTCACTATTTCGTCGTTTTATCAACAAAATGAAATATTGACATAGTATATATCATATTTAACGTACTTTATGTTCACATCTGCGTCATTATTATTCATTTTTTTACTATTTTTAGAATTTTTTCAATAGATTATGAGAAATCAAGCAAGCATATATATATATATATGCTCAACAGTGTGCAATGAAATAAAATAATTGTGCCTGACTTAAAACATCCGAAGCAATTTGATTCAACAGGGTTGTTGAAAATATGATTTTTGTACGTGGCAGAGATGTCACGACAGCGGGGAGCACCCCTCACATCAAGAAATTTTTCATTTTTTTTGCAGTAAAAATTGTTTTTGCTATTGAAAAAACGTTTCTCCTCCCCCTCGACTCTCAAGAGAATTGTATATGTACTTTTGAAGCTCTATGCAAATGTTTCTTGCACCAGCCTCCCCCTACTTTTTTCCTTTACGATATACCTTAGAGAAGATATGACTCAAATTAAACATAAATAAAACTATATATTTTATGTTAGAATGAAAGTCCATCAAAATCGGGACTCAGGATTATAACTATTCATTCATCAAATGATAATGTGCTATAGTATCACCGAAAGTTTCAAACTTTTATAATTACAATTGGATAGTTCCATAAATAGTCATTCATTAAAAAAAGTTTATCAGAATGTTTTTTCGCCTATCAATCAGACTTTCTAGTGTTATCTGCGCTGAGTATTTTAAAGAGAGAGAGAGAGGTTTTAAGGTGTAAGTTTGCGTGGAAAATTGGATTTGAATAGCCTTATCATACACATACATCAACAACCGATAGAAGTTCTAAATAGGGAGCCGTGCCAAGTGATAAATCATTTTTGAGTTCAAACTCTGTGCACATAGCAGACTTCAATGAGATAAGGAGAACTCCAAAAGAATAAGTGCTCTTAGACCTTCTGTGCAGCTCTATAGCCACTTTACTAGAATCTTAGCCTATAGAACGATACAGAGTTGTAACCGGTGAATAGTTCGATTCGGTTCGATCCCATCGATTTGTTAGATTAGTGCTAATTGTTTAGTTGAAATGACTCCAAAATAATATTTCTTTTTGCACTCAGGCTTTTAAAAATCTTCAGGAAAACCAGAGTCATCCATCTTCTGATTGCCAAACTCCAAATCTTGAATTCTCTCACTCGACATTTACAAACAAACATAACGTTTCCCTTCAAACGACAGTCTAAACCTAAATTTGATCTTTAAGAAAACATTTTTGAAATAAGTTTAGCTCGAGTAACACAATTTGATTGTACTTTTTAAAAAATGAAATATGAAACAGTATGGAAGAACAAAAGAAAATAAAACTGATACTTCTTCAAACAACACTTTGATTATTATGATAAGAGCACTCAAATTCGCTCTCAACAAGTTTTATCAGAAAAAAAGGCTTATATATAAAATGTTTTCTAATCGACGAGGACCAGTTACAAATCTGACATGACATATTTAGGGATGAGAGATTCTGAATCGAAATCGAAAGCATTTTCATGAAAGACTATAGAACTTTTCAGTATCTTTTAACAAAAGGACTAAATAAATCATTGAAAAATTTATTTAAATAGTATTGATAAAAAGAGCAATGTTTCTTCTTAAGAAAAGATACATTTCCACCAAAGGATACATACAGGGTGTCCGTAAAGTCATTGTCAAGAAAAGAAAATGGTATGTTTCCATTATGGTTCTGTTGGATGAATTAGTTTTTGTAATTGTGGTAGAGGACATTTTCAAGTTTTTATTCATTAACATAAAATTCTCAAATACTCCAGAAAGTAGCACTTTTAAAATCGTGTTTTGAGTTGGAAAAAAATTATATTTAGAATTTTTTCTTTAACTTTGTTTTATGATTGTGAGTCTCCAGTCACCCAGGCCTATTTTTCTTTATAAACATTTCTATAGAATGTCTTAAAAACCCAAATTGAGTGTTACATTTCTTCAAAACAATTTCTTTGTCGTTTGTCAATAACTCTGTCCAACAAATGCTGATAAGGCAAGAAAAATAGGTCTAGATATGTGGGATGTCACAATAGTGAAACAAAGTTCAAGAAAACATCTTGAATATTATACGCTTTGCAACTCAAAAAACGACTTTAAAAGTGCTAATTTCTAAGAGTACGTCAGAACTTCATATTTACGAATGAAAACTTGGAATTGCCCTCTACCAAGAGTACAAAAGCTAATGCATCCAACAGAACCATAATGAAAATATACAAAAAGTCGATCTTGCCCATGTCTAGGCACATTGTCAGGCAAAATTTCAAGTTCAAATATCCTCATTCATTTTGTTTGTGTACACCATCTTGTGGGCTAAAATTCTAGTAAAATGGCTATAACTATGGATGAAAGACATAATGACGCTTATCCTTTTAGAGTTGTTTATACCTCATTGTGGTCCACCTTATGCACAGAGTTCAAACTCAGAAACGATTTATTACTTGGAATGGTTCGTTCGTTAGTTTAAAATACTAAATAATGTCATAACCACAGCAACAGATCTATTTGAAGTTTTTTCAATATGTTGACCCTAGTACCATTATTTATTTGTCAAGTTTTTAATTTTTAGGTTTTACTAAGATAATCAACACATATAGTTCTACAAACTATAAAATGTGGCTCATCGTCGAGTCATATTGCTGAGCATGAATAAAGAGTTTAATCTTAGATAGAAAACTAAACATCATTAGATTCTATAGTTTGCATTCACGAAATCTCTCAAGTTAAAAACATATGTTTCGTCTCTAGCAATAAAGCTAAATTAGCTCGAAGAAAACTTTATTGCCGACTGTGAAAAAGATTTGTACATGCAACATTTCCAAAAAAATCTAAAAACCAAATGATGAATTTATATCATTTAATAAAATTCATTTATCTAAGTAAGAGAAAAAAGGTTTCGTTGAACTTTTAGCACTCAGTATATACATTCATGACAGCAAGAAACTTAATGATAAGAATTAGTTTTTACTAAGTCTAGTTTAAAGAAAGTAGCAGCAAGATTTAAGAGCTTAAAATTTTAAAGTACTACTAATACTAAAAAAAATACATGGTTTTAGCAGGATATATTCTTTATGATTAGTGTACTTACAAGTAACCAATCTCATATTACAAAAAATGATTACAATCAATCAGAAAGCTATTTCTTGTTATCGTATGAAGACTAACTACATACTAATCGATCTCATTCTTTGTAAATTTTCAAGCTGCGAAAAGAGAAGAACATTTTTTGGATAGCTCAGTTTCAGAAACTTATCTAAGATTGTAGATATAAGTCAACTAGAAATAATCGTCAGCAAAAATATTGTTTTCTAAACCACTTCCATTGATTAATTTATTGGAGTTTTTTTTTCATTTATATATTGTAGAATAGTGACCTCTACATTTATCATTATGTTCCACCAATTACAATAGTTTACAAATTGATAACCTTCCTTTTTAATAATTACTTAGTGTGTTTTATTATCTTATGAATTATTTTTAGTCCTTGAAAGTAAAAAGGAAAAAGCAATATGGAATGTTTTGAGTTTGCACTCAAACAAAAATTTATTCTATCTCGTTGTTTTTTTTTGTATATTTTAGAAAAGTTTAATCATGTCAACGGAAAAAAATAATGACTGGTGGCATAATTCAGTTGTTTATCAAATTTATCCGCGATCATTTTTTGATTCTAATGGTGATGGTATTGGTGATATTAATGGTATAACAATGAAACTTGATTATATAAAAAAATTAGGTGTTGATATAATTTGGTTGAGGTTAGGAAAAATTTTATTTAAAAGAAAATAAAAAAAAAAAAACAACTTCATTATTTTTTTTTTTGAAATTTTCTAGTGCAATTTGTGATTCACCTAACTATGATAGTGGATATGATGTTCGTGATTATTATTTAATAATGTCTGAACTTGGTACAATGGATGATTTTGATGTAATGTTAAAAGAAATGAAAAAACGTCAATTAAAATTAGTTATGGATCTTGCTATGAATCATACAAGTGATGAACATCCATGGTTTATTGAATCAAAAAAAAGTAAAGATAATCCATATAGAAATTTTTATCATTGGGCACCAGGTCATGATGGAAAAGCACCGAATCATTGGGGAGCATGTTTTGGTGGTCCTGCTTGGGTAAATTTACATATTGTTTTTCCTTTTTTCTCAATAATTATTATGCATTATAGACATATGATATTATTACCGGTGAATATTATTTACATACATTTACAACAAAACAACCTGATCTTAATTGGGATAATCCAATGGTACGTGATGAAATGTATAAAATAATGCGTTATTGGCTTGATAAAGGTGTTGATGGTTTTCGATTAAATGTTATTAATTTTCTATCTAAAACACCTGGTTATCCTGAAGGAAAATATAATAATAAAAGTCAATATACAAATGGTTCAACATATTTTATAAATGGACCACATGTGCATGAATATGTTCAAGAAATGAATGAAAAAGTTTTTCAACATTATAATATTATTACTATTGGCGAATGTCCAGGTAAAATAAATATTGAAAATTTCTATTAAATATATATATATGATGTCTTTTGTTTTCTGTAAAGGTTCTCATTTACATGATGCGGAATTATTTACTTCACCGAAACGAAAAGAATTAAATATGATAATTACATTTGAACATCTTGATTTAGATGGAGGAAAATGGACACCTAAATTACTTGATTTACGTTGTTTAAAACATCATTTTACATCATGGCAAAATTGTTTATATGATAATGGATGGAATAGTTTATATTGGAATAATCATGATCAACCAAGAATTGTTTCACGTTGGGGAAATGATACAGCACCCTATAGAAATTTATCAGCAAAAATGCTTGCAACATGTTTACATTTTC